TAATTACTTATCTATTTATCAATTATTTAACCACAAAAGTGGATTATTTTTGGTTCTTTTCGAAAATTCGGTCATTTTGATAATACGGACAGGGTACGGTCACAATTAATCCGGATTATCGACGCTCTACTGTATATAACAATACAATTGAAAACACAGTTAAATACTTGCCTTGAAATTAATACGTGTAATTCCCACTGCTGTAACAAAGTAGTTACAGTATCATGAACTTGCACATCCATTTCTATTTCTTACCAAATCGTAAAAACACTCCGAATACCTGAACACGTTAATGACGACTTGTGACGACTGAGAGTACCACAAAACGTATTAATATTAGTGGACTTCCCTCTAACAAAACAAGAGTACAGTCTTACAGGTTTGTAACTGTAATAATGAAGAAAGTTTGTAACTGTAAGTTGGTAGCGAATCCTCAAAAACAGATGCTTTATCGATCGTTTTCGATGATGAAAAAGCAATTTTTGTATTAAGAAATATTTTCTATAAACGATCGATGTAACGGTGAAAACAGGTAGACAAAACGACTAAAATACATTTAAATAAAGTATTTAATAATAGTACATTTGTCCATTTAGGTAAAATATTTCATTGTTAAATGTATATAGAAATTCAGACTAGAACAAAATAAACAAAAATACCAAATACTTTAGGTAACTAAACTACTCAACAACTAGACTTATCAACTAGTTTCCACGATGTAGTTTCTTTTTCTAAAAATTAGTTATATCACCTCAGTAAATAGATAAATTAACTATCATAAATTTGACTAATTAGAATTGTATATGTCAGCTAAATTACGTTAGGTAAATGAATAAATTTTCTAGCATAAATGACTATTTGTCTAACAACTAAATTGATTTAGTTCAATTTTCCATATCATTTTTCTCAGTGTAGTAATAGCTTGGCTGCGTCTTTAATTACAACTTTTGGATCTGTACGATCACTTTTGTGACATTCCAATGGAAGAATTTTGAAGAACTATTAAGTTATTTTGTTAAATTGCAGTGTTTTCTGTTTATAAATCTGTTAAAAATAAATAATTATGTGTATGGTAATAAAAAAATACTTTTTTTACGACCTCATTTTGGATATTATGCAAAAACCGTTGGTGTACGATGACTTTTGGGACTGACTGTATATGATAAAAAAATAATCTTTACTTTTATTAAATAAATTTACTTCGTATAAATTAAATTTTCCACCTACATAAAATTCAAAATTAAATTTCGCGCCAACACCAACACACAGAAAATAGAATCCAGCGCATGCGCCGTTTTAACCTCACAAACGGGGATACGGGAGTTCTCGTAATCTCTCAAAATACACTCAAAAATGATTTAAAACTACTTAAACAAACATAAAAATCTCTTCGTATTCATGTTGAACGTACGACAACCCTCGTTGGGTGAGTACAACTCTTTTAATACCTCTAAAATACTTTTCGTCGGTAACCTGACAGTTACCTAACCTCACTTTTCTCTTTTCTTTCTCCTGTCAAAATAGAACTTCAAATGGACGATGAGGCCGTAATTGCCACAAATGATGATGCTAGTGAATGTAAACGTGGAGCGGTTCAATTGGGGTATTGGGAAGATAGATATGTGACACAATTTATTAAAACTTCGCATAGAAGGGCTCCGGAAATTAATCGGGGTTATTATGCCCGTGTTAAAGGTGTTGAAAGGTTTATTCATAAATTTTTAGAACGAGCTGGAGATAAAGCTCAAATTATAAATTTGGGGGCTGGATTTGATACCCTTTATTGGAGGTTAAAAGATCAAGAGGTTCGATTAAGTAGTTTTGTTGAAATTGATTTTCCAAGCGTAACCTCTAGGAAATGTTATTTTATAAAAAGAAATAAACAGTTACTTCAGAGGATACATGAAAAAGATCAAGAAGTTAAATTAAGCCCAACCGATTTACATGCAGGTCCGTATCATTGCATCGGAGTTGATTTAAGAAACATTGGAGAACTTGAAAATAAACTTCATCAAGCTGAAATTAATTTTTCACATCCAACTTTGTTCATTTCTGAGTGTGTATTGGTTTATATCGAAAATGATTGTGTTAATCGACTTTTAACATGGATTCAAACGAAATTTCCATCAGCTTTATTTGTTGTTTATGAAATGTGTAACATGAATGATACTTTTGGACATGTTATGTTGGAAAATATGCGAGCTAGGGGTTGTACTCTCGCGGGGATTTCATCCTGTAAAAGCTTAGAAACGCAGAGACAAAGATTCGAAGAAAATAATTGGACCGGCTCGAAATCGTGGGATATGGTCGAAATTTATAAATCGATACCAAACGATGAAAGAGAAAGGATTGAAAAATTAGAATTTTTAGACGAACAGGAATTGCTTGTACAACTTTTTCAACATTATTGTGTGTGCATAGGTTGGGTTGGTAATCAATTCTCCGATTGTGACTTGGATTAAGATGAAATAAGACTTTTTCAGACATTTTGTGTTCCCCATTTTTCGTTTTCAACGTTTTACTCGCATAATATGGATATAAATATTTTTTGTATAAAAAACAACTACATGTATTTAAAATAAATACTTCGATATTTAATAATTACATAAAATAATTAACTTAAAGGCAAAGGAAAATGTATAGCTCTTGAGTTAATAAAAGATATTAAATAATAAAAGAGTTATTACTTTTATTATGTGATATTAGCCTATATACAATTAATTGAGATTATATTAGGTGTTGGACACTGCAGATAATAATAAAGTTCAACCCCCAATATATCATCAGCAACCTCATTGTAACAATCCCAATACAATATATTAAATTTCTTAATTCATCATCACATTTATTACTAACAGAACTGTCGTTGTTTTTGCAAAAAGCCAAAATTTTTTTCGAATTTTGCAATTTTCGCCGATTAAGTTTTAAAAATTCATATAAAATCCAGTTCTTGGAATATGAGTATAAAAATTTCCCAACGTGTTAATAAGAGTGTCCTCTTTTCAATGAACCAACACGTTTTGAAAAATAACTTTTAGTTCTTGAGAAAACAATATTTCAAGTTTTGATAAAATTTCCGAAGTTGCAATTTTCATCGATAATTTTCAAAAATCGCTATAAAATTACTTTCTTGAAGGATCCTTGTGGAAATATCACCAACTATTAATTAAAATATCCTCTTTTTAATAGAACAAGCCGTTTTGAAAAATCGATTTTAGTTTTTGAGTAATAAATTTTTGAAATGATCGAAAATTTTAATTTTCGCCGATTATGTTTTAAAAATTCGTAGAAAATCCATTTCTTGAAATATGAGTATGAAAATTTCCTAAAATATTAATTAAAGTGTCCTGTTTCCAATGAACCAACACGTTTTGAAAAATAACTTTTAGATTTTGAGAAATATTGGGCCCTCTTTTGTTTTTAATTTATATTAATGATCTCCCTCAGAATATAACGAATGGGTCGGTTGTTGTGTATGCCGATGACACAACCCTATTTAGCAATCACAAAGGTTATGAAAATGCTTTTGAGAGTAGAGCTGTTTCTCTAAGGGAGGCTAGTAACAAACTAAAGTTAAATTCATATAAAACGGCTTTCGCTACGTTTACATTGAGACGGTGCCCTAACATACAGTCTCTTTCTGCTGTAAAGTTCTTGGGCGTTTATCTTGATTCCGGGCTGTGCTGGGAGGAACATATGTTGACATTATGTAGTAAATTAAGTGGCAGCATCTATTTGTTGCGAAACTTGCGCTCGAACGTATCTCCACCAGTTTTACGCACAGCATACTTTGCGCTGTGTCAGTCCTCAATGACTTATGCATTGTTAGTCTGGGGCTTTGCTGCTGGTTTTGAACGCGTATTTAGAATGCAAAGAAGGGCTATACGGGTATTAAAAAATTTAAATTATAGAGACGACTGTAGAAGCTCCTATATTGATTTACAAATATTAACTCTACCGTCTCTCTACATTCTCGAATGTGTTACATATGTTAAAAAGAACATTAATAAGTTTGACACGTATAAGCAGGTGCATAATTATGATACTAGGAAAAATAGCGATCTGATACCCAAATATACACGATTAACAAAATGCCAGAAAAGTGTGAATGCGATGGCGGTGAAATTTTTTAATAAATTGCCATTACACGTCCGTCAGTTGCCACTGAAGGGCTTTAAAGAGCATATTAAATAAACTCTTGTTACAAGAGCGTACTACTCGACCTCCGAATATATGAGTGACAGTCTTGAGATGATTTCCACCTTTGGCACTTAATGTTGTCTATTGTAATCTTATGTAATTTTATATGTTATTTTATTTTATATTTTTTTCTTTAATATGACGCTATATAATATGTATAAAATTTGACAAGTGTGAAGATATTGTATTGTATGTATAATAAAGATTATGATTATGATAACAATATTTGAGATTTTGATCAAATTTTAGATGTTGCAATTTTCATGGATAACTTTCAAAATTCGCTATAAAATTCATTTCTTGAAGGATCCTTGTGGAAAAATCACCAATTATTAATTAAAGTATCCTCTTTTTAATGCAATAAGTCGTTTTGAAAAATCACTTTCAGTTCTTGAGAAATAAATTTTTGAAATGAACTACTATTTTTTCGAATTTTGCAATTTTCACCGATTAACTTTTAAAAATTCGTATAAAATCCAGTTCTTAAAATATGAGTATGCAATTTTCCCAAAGTGTTAATAAGAGTGTCCTCTTTTCAATGAACCAACACATTTTGAAAAATAACTTTCAGTTTTTGAGAAAACAATATTTGAAGTTTTGATAGAATTTTCAATGTTGCAATTTACATCAATAACTTTCAAAATTCGCTATAAAATTTATTTCTTGAAGGATCTTTGTGGAAATATCACCAATTATTAATTAAAGTATCCTCTTTTTAATGCAACAAGCCGTTTTTTAAAATCACTTTTAGTTCTTGAGAAATAAATTTTTGAAATAATCGACAATTTTTTCGAATTTTGCAATTTCCGCCGATTAAACTTTAATAATTCGTATAAAATCGATTTCTTGGAATATGAGTATGAAAATTTCCTAAACTGTTAATAAGAGTACCCTCTTTCTAATGCACCAACCCGTTTTGAAAAATAACTTTTAGTTTTTGAGAACACAATATTTGAAGTTTTGAAAAACTTTTCGATGTTACAGTTTTCATCGATAATTTTCAAAATTCGCTATAAAATTCATTTCTTGAAGGATCCTTGTAATGTGCCGCATACCATCTCGCATGATAGAGGTCAACAATTCGAATCCCCTGTCTTTCGGCAATTCAATAAGTTGCTCTTCTTATCATCCCCAGAGCAACGGCATTTTGGAAAGGTTCCACAGGACCTTCAAAAATGCCATCACCGCCAAACGATGCAGCTATAGGTGGAACAACAATCTTCCTGTAATTTTACTGGGTTTAAGATCCTGTTTAAAGGAAGATCTCGGTTGTTCCCCCGCTGAACTAGTCTATGGACAGCCAATACGCTTACCAGGAATTCTTCATAACCTCTCAACATAGCAGAAGGACAACACCCTTACTAACAAGTTTGAGGGAAACTTTTCTTAAGCTTAAATCTATTCCAAGAAAATTTCATTTAGTGTCGAAACCTTTCATTCACAAAGATTTACCGACTTCTGAATTAGTTTTTTTTAAATTACAAAATTTCAAATCTTTATCTAATTATGTCATTAATAAAAATAACAAATAATTGATAGTCAATATAGACCGCCTTATACCGGCATTTTTGACTGACAATTCTTACTCTGCAATTAACAATTCTTCGTCAATTTTTAATAATTCTTTATCAACAATTAATAATTCTTCTTTCAGTAACAATAATTCATCGCAAATTATTAACAGTTACAAAAAACATTAGCGAGTTCGTTTCTGTGTTTAAACTGAAATTACATTTGTATTCATATCCTTGTTGCTACTAATTTTGAGTGGTCTTTGTATCTTTTGGAGAGGGGAGTATTTGTAGCGGTGCTTCAAAAATTCGCAATTCACCTTCCAAAAATTACAAAAGTTGACATGACTACTAATCATGTTTTAATTTTTTTGTTATCGTGACAAATTTATAAAAAAAATGAACGTTGTTATTTTTTAGTTTCCTATCACCATAGAAAATATTTATATAGAAACATTACTCCTCCGCACTATTTTACCGACCAAATTAAATGCAACACCGTCAAGGGGATTGTAATAGAAGCATCGAGATATACTATATTTAAATTATGTAAATTATATGTATCTCGATGAATAGAAGTAACTTAAATAAACCGCGAAATTTGAATGTGTTCGGTATATTTATATATATTATTATATACATATATACAGGTGCCCATTATGTATGGAATATAGTATATAGTAGGTATCAACCTACCAAGATATATACTTTTATATACTTTTATTTAAACTGTTGAAACGTCGAGTGAACGAGCCTAAATGCGGTAGAACTTTATTCAAAAATTAATTTGAAAAACCATAATAATAGTATGAAAAACACTGACATTTAAACGTCAAAAATATTCCTGACAAAGATTGCAAAGCCTACTAAGATTTTTTCATTAAAAATTCATTCCAACTTTTGATGGACAACCCCGTTGTTTAACGGGCAGTGTTTGCTTTATTATTTTTTTTCTCAAAAATTAGTCGTTTTTGGAAAAATTTTAGAGAGACAAAAAAGTTTTAGGATACTTTCATCTACCTATGTAAAAATTTTTTTAATGTATTTACCATCTGCATACAAAAATTTTAGCAAAAATGTAAAGAGGGTTGAAAGTACAAATAGGATGAAAACGTGCCCTACTATGAGTTAAACATATTCCCCTAATTTCGTTTTGCTAGCGTTTATGGTTTTTGAGAAAAAAAAATTAAACCAAAATTTCCCGCCATTTTTGGAAGGGTGTAGGTCCTTAGGGGAGTCCAAGTCGCCCATAGTTCATATATCAAAGTACCCTTAAAATTGCCTAAAGAATCACCCCCTGAAGTTTGGGCACGTCATTCAGATACATCCTGTATGAAATCTCCTGTTGCAGTTTCGTCCAATTTTCTTCTCTTCACTTGTAATTCATCATCACATTCATTATTAACAGAACGTCGCTGTTATCACTTTCGATTATTAATTAAAGTATCCTCTTTTTAATGTAAAAAGCCTTTTTGAAAAATCACTTTCAGTTCTTGAGAAATAAATTTTTGAAATAATCGACAATTTTTTCGAATTCTGCAATTTTCGTCGATTAAGTTTTAAAAATTCGTATAAAATCCAGTTCTTGGAATATGAGTATGAAATTTTCCCAAAGTGTTAATAAGAGTGTCCTCTTTTCAATGAACCAACACGTTTTGAAAAATAACTTTCAGTTTTTGAGAAAACAATATTTGAAGTTTTCATAAAATTTTCGATGTTGCAATTTTCATCGATAATTTTCAAAATTCGCTATAAAATTAATTTCTTGAAGGATCCTTGTGGAAATATCACCAATTATTAATTAAAGTATNAGTTCTTGAGTAATAAATTTTTGAAATAATCCACAATTTTTCGAATTTCACTTCAGAAATGCACCAGAAATTATAGCCATGATGGCCGGATAACCGGCCGAATATCCGGGTTTTCGCAAAATCACTATCCGTTCCATCACTAATAATAGTTACTTATTGTAATTAGTTATAAGTTTATAATTCGTAATCGCATTTAAATAGAGATTGAGAGTTAAATAAGGTTTAGAATTGAAATTCCTACCTCACTTTTTAAATTTGACATAATTATAAATTAATTTTTTAAATTTGATATTAAAAGACGTGAAACCACTTAAATGTTATAATTAAGGTACTCTTTAGTTAGTTTAACAATAATTTGGAGCTTGATAACACTTATTTGTTGATGAAAATTCCTTTTGAAGTTACAAAATTTTCACATCAAAATTCATAACGTAGTGTCAAATTTTCATCAAATTCTTTAGTCAATTCTGAAAGAAAAAAATAATAAATCTTTATTTGGGGAAATTCAATATATTAATATATATTACAATTATTATTTAAAAATCTATTTTGGCTCATAACATAGTTAGAAATGAAATAGCATGACAACAACAAAGTGATTAATTAACCATTATTAGGGTACTATTTAGAGCTTTTAGAAGCTGGATTTATCAGGGCGTGAAATTAAATTTAGGCTATAAATTTGGGGAATACAATGCCGATAATGCGGGTACCTGTAATGAATTTAACGGTTGTAAATCAACGAGCTGTCACTAATGTTTACTTCGTTGTCTAAACACTAGCGCTATCTATGAATTTGCATTAAAATTAATGAAGTTTACTTTAAAATTTTAAAATAATTTATTATAAATAAACATTTAGTTACAATAATGATTTATTTTTATTTATTTTAGAATGGCCGATTTCCGTAAAAAGAAGCAATTATACGTTTTCAATGTGTTCTTTGGTAAGCTTTTTTTTGTTCTTGTTTACATAATATACAGTTGTCCCAGGATAGATGTTACAAGAGGTATAATGAACTAAAAATATTTGAATTTTATTTTAATGATGGGTAAGTAAGTTCTGTTTGGTGTGATGATAATTTTAAGAATATTTTCATATTTTGAAAACAAACAACTTTTCTTAATGAAATTTTGCCGTATCATGAACAGAAAGGTTACTTTACCTGAAAAATAGTTTTTGCTTGAATGTTAAGGACGACTTGATTTTCAAAATATGATAATATTCTTAAAATTTTCTTCACACCAAGCAGAGCTTAATTCTTCATCCTTAAAAGAAAGTTCAAAAGTTTTTAGGTCACTCTTGTAACATCTATCCTGGGACACACTGAATGTTGTTGTTAATTGCTATGATATTATGTTTCCATTTATTATTTTAAACAATTTCAGATGTTAACAGAAGTGGAACCATTGATAGCAAGGATTTTGAACTTGCCATAGAGGTAATTATCTTATTATTAGAACAACTTCTTTTCAAACATCTTTATTATATTTAATTTCAGAAAATATGTACTCTAAGAGGATGGTCCAGCGGTTCACCACAATACCAAAAGACCCACACGAGTATGATGAAAATTTGGGACGGATTAAGACAAAGAGCTGATGCAAACAACGATGATCAAGTAAATTAAAATTAACAGGATTGCTACCAAGCGTCACATATACAAGGAATTTCATATAATTCGCAATATATCAATCAGTAATCATTAATCATAGTTACAAAACTACTATGCACTTGCACTGTTCCACATAAAATGCATCATAGCTTAATAGTACAGGCATAAGCAAAGGTGTCGTCCTTATGATAACTCAGAGTTTTAATCTTAAGAGACACACGGGTACACCCGAATATTTCTGGTTCTAGATCTAGTGTTAGTTCTACAGTGTGTTAATTAATTATCGTACCCGACGTCATCATTGCATATATGCAACCAATATCACAATATAGGTATTGAAATACGCGATTTGCGTATTTGGTTGCACACTTGCAATGATGACCTCAGGTACGATAATTAATTAACACACTGTATAATTCGTTCAATAAAAATATACCACAATCAGAATAACAATTGACGGCATTATTGCAAAAACCAAACAAGTCCATAAATCAATTTTTTCAGAAACTTGAGAAAACTATGTAGCTTCTTTTGTAGTGTATGTAAAAAGATCATAATTTTTATATCGTTTGGCCTCTTTGGCAGCTTCGCATGGGTAGTATAACAGTATTCTATCAATAGTTTTTAAGAAAAAAATTACATTTTATTACAGAAAATCACTACTAACAAGGGAAGTGTCACAACTGTGTCTCACCGATTTCGATGCAATTTGGTACAGTCATAGAATGGGCCAAAATAAGGTTCGCACATTTTTTTATACGTGCGGTAAAAGCCCCTGGGGCGAGTTATAGGGGTTGAAAGTTTGGAGAAAAAGTACGTTTTCACTTATATTTTGAAAACGAAAAGTGCTATCAAAATTTGGTAAATTGTAACTGATATTCATTTTAAAAGAGCTTTCTTTTGATGTGTCACACATATAGCAGAGGGTTAAAAAGGGCGAACTACCCCTATTTTTTTGGAATTATTTAAAAACCACCCTATCGATTTTGGCGGCATTAAGTATACTTCTAGTGCGTTCAAAAATATTAGTTAAGGGTTTTTTCCCATTCGCCCTAGATCAACCCCAGCGAAGTTACGGGGGTTAACATGTAAGCACTTTTCGTAAGAATGATGTGATAAAATTGTCAGGTATTTTGAAAATACTTTAAACAAAACCGTAAATTAGTCGCACAATAAAATGTTTAGTGTAAAATAAGGCATAATACANAGCACTTTTCATTTTTAAAATATAAGTGAAAACGTACTTTTTCTCCAAACTTTCAACCCCTATAACTCGCCCCAGGGGCTTTTACCGCACGTATAAAAAAATGTACGAACCTTATTTTGGCCCATTCTATGACTGTACCAAATTGCATCGAAATCGGTGAGACACAGTTGTGACACTTCCCTTGTAAGTGATTCAATCACTAATGTACTTTTAACTTTTAATATATTAATCCTGATTACAACTTTAAAAAATAATAGTACATTTAAGGTATGTACAACAAAAATAGTATTCTAAATATATAAGCTTCTTAGTTATCTGCACAACCATCAGAATTGTCGTTGCTATCAACCTCAATGTTTCCGTCTTGAGATTGATCAGATTGATTGAGAACTATTATCATCGAAGCTAAATCCTCCAGTAGAGACTCAGAGTAGCGGCGATCAAGTGGGTTTTCAAAGTACCGTATGAGTTCTCATAGCTTTTACATGTTGTATTCCTGGAGGCGACCGATAAAATCCAGGGTATTTACCTTGCCTCTGGAGGATTTATTGACCACAATATGCCTTTCCCATGGCCCATAATACGATTTTCGCAAATTAGCATCATTCTCACTTCTTCAAGTTCCACAGCGCTTCTGATATCAAAGAAGTCTTTGTGGAGCATTATCTTCAGCTTAAATGGCGAGGGATGGATTCGTGCTTTCTGCACTACTTCGTCCCAGTGTTCTGAACGTGATGCTATATTGGTTTTTTTTTCTTGTTTCCGATTAGGCCAAAATCCTGATCATTCGGCAGATAGCTGTGTCCACTTATAGGAAAGAAATACGTAACTCTCTTGAAAATTTTCAAGACTGGACTAAATAATACAAAAACTGAACCATTGTCTTGTTCTTGTTTTGTCCAGGACAGCCATCAGATATTAGCACAAGTTCCTCATGTCTTTTATTATCTTTCAGTTTATATATTGAGTTTAGCAGTATAGATGTCACTTCATTCGCACCCTTTTTGCCTCATTTTCTAGGTAGCGATACTTTGTTATAGAACTATCTGATGTGAATAGGGGGGAATACAGGACCAGTTGGAATATGTGGAAGGTTTTGTATGAAGTCAAAAGACAAGCATGTTATACTCCCTTCTATAATCTTCATAACAAACTTTCTTTTTTCTTTCTTGAAAGTTTCCGCCTTTTTAGATGAAGTGTTTTCTCCGTTGTATACTGGGCTTTTGATACATCATCTGTAACTGAATTCAACTTTTGCTGAAGAGAATCGCAGATAGTGTAAAACTAGAGCTAACATTATACCTAGAACTAGAATCATTCGGATTTAGCCGTCTTTATTCTACTTTTAGATCTTGTGTTAGTTCCAGTGATAGTACTAGTCCAAAACTAGAATTAACACTACAACTATGTTAACTAGTTCTATGAATTCTTCTCAACCCGAATCTTAAAAAAAAAACAGCAAAGCCTGGTTTCCATAGAATTACAAATTGACAGAAATATTTTGTTTCCTGATTTACTGTGCTAAATAATAAGGAATGCGATACAACCCAAATTAAACTGATCAGAAATTCTGTTCAACCCAAATCTTGCAAAGAATCTTGTAAAACCTGGTTTCCAAAAAAATGCAAATTGAAAAAAATATTTTCTTTCCTTATTTGCTGATTTAAATAACAAGGAATGCGTTGCAATTCAAATTAAATTGATCAGAAATACTGTTCAACCGAAAAATTGCAAAAATTCCTCAAAAACCGGCGTCTTCTGCATCTAAGTTTCCTGCCGCTGCTTTAACTATTGATTCAATAAAATTTACTGTGACTCTTTGTTTTCTGATGTTTGGGATCAGTTGTGCAAGAAAAATAGAAGTCACCCGGTGATGTTGTTTTTACGTCAGCGCTGGTGGTTTAGCAAGATCTGGAACAACACCGAGTTCAAGTATGATAAGTTGGTATTCCTCGTCGAGTTTGAACATCAGGGTCTAAAGTAAGATTTCTTCATCTTATGACTTTTGGTAATAATGATGCAAAAATACATCATTTCTCATATTTTCCAAATTGTAACCTATAATCTCTACAGATGAGATTACAGTATGCAATAAAATCTGATCTGGTTGACACATTCATGCTTATAAGGTTAGATTTAGACAATCTAGAATTAAATATACTTTGAGGCATTGTGACTTGAAATGGTACGTTAGTTGCACCCTTCTTATGTATAGGAATGAAAGTAGAGGTAGACCAATCTTTGGGTCATGTTGATTCAGATTCTGCAAAAGTGAGGAGTAAAAAAAAGGAATATTATATCGTCGTATCTTGGAGATTTTAATTTTTTTTTAAGTATGCTATTATTGCCTTCTCCACCTTTGCTTGCAAGATGTCCGGTTCGTGCACTATGTCGTTTACGTTGAGAATTGTCTCCTCTTTCCCAAGGATCTATTGATCCTTGAACAGTTTTGAGCATTAAGAATTAGTTAGTAACTAGATTCACCAACTAGAACTAGAAAATTCGGGTTTAGCCGTGCGTCTTCACTTTCTAGTTATAGGTCTAGTGTTAGTTCTAGTTTTACACCAGCACTGTTACTATGTAGAACCAACATTATACCTAGAACTAGAATCATTTGGGTTTAGCCGCACGTCTCTAAAGACGGCTAAACCCGAATGATTCAAGTTCTAGGTATAGTGTTAGTTCTAGTTTTGCGCTGTCACTAGAACTAACATTAGAACTAAAACTAGAAACATTTGGATTTAGCAGAACGTCTGTTAAGACGGCAAAACCCGAATGTTTCTAGTTCTAAGTCTAGTGTTATTTCTAGTTTTACATGAGCACTCTTACTATGTAGAACTAACACTATGCCTAGAACTAGAATCATTTGGGTTTAGCCGCACGTCTCTAAAGACGGCTAAACCCGAATGTTTCTAGTTTTAGGTATAGTGTTAGTTCTAGTTTTGCACTGTCACTAGATCTAAGATTAGACCTAGAACTATAAACATTTGGGTTTAGCCGAACGTTTCTTAAGACGGCTAAACCTGAATGTTTCTAGTTCTAGGTCTAGTGTTAGTTCTAGTTTTACACTAGCACTATTACTATGTAGAACTAATACTATACCTAGAACTAGAATCATTTGGGTTGAGCCGCACGTCTCTAAAGACGGCTAAACCCGAATGTTTCTAGTTTTAGGTATAGTGTTAATTCTAGTTTTGCACTGTTACTAGAACTAACATTAGACCTGGAACTAGAAATATTTGAGTTTAGCCAAACGTCTCTTAAGACGGCTAAACCCGAATGTTTCTAGTTCTAGGTCTAGTGTTAGTTCTAGTTTTGCACTAGCACTATTACTATGTAGAACTAATACTATACCTAGAACTAGAATCATTTGGGTTTAGCCGCACGTCTCTAAAGAGCGCTAAACCCGAATGATTCGAGTTCTAGGTATAGTGTTAGTTCTAGTTTTGCACTGTCGCTAGAACTAACATTAGATCTAGAACTAGAAATATTCGGGTTTAGCCATACGTCTCTTAAGACGGCTAAACCCGAATGATTCTAGTTCTTGGTCTACCGCTGCACATCAATTAAAACTAGAACTATCACTCGACCTAGAACTAGAAAGTACCTGACATTGCTGTAATGTCAAATTATGTATACTGACATGTTACTTTTTTTGTGGGATAAAGTAAGTAGGTACGCCCTAAGAACAAAGAGAAAGAAATAAACTGGTGTAAAAAACGTTCTTTACTATAAAATTAAATAATAACAAAACAATTATTTTTTAAAAAAGTCAGTTATTTTTACTTGTTTTCTTTTCTGGTTATTTATCCTTTGTTACGAA